GAGATGTCTGGGATCAATAGTTGAATTGTAGGGAATTGTGTGTGACTTCCAATCTCAGTGGGGCAGAAGGAGTTTCTCAGTCAAGGGTGCTGAGAAGGCATTTCCTGGCTGGGTAGTGTCTCCAGCCTAGCAGGAGACTGGAACTGAAGGACTGGCTCACCACTCACTGCAAAGCCCAAACGCTCCAAACACAGACAGGCAGACAATTATATTCTAAGAGCTGGGCCTAGGGTGGTGTCCCAACTTCTCTGTCACAGCTTTCCAGAAGCCACAGTGGTTCTCGATGGGGACTCTGGTTTAATCATATTTTTAAGCTTTACATAAGAGAAGTTCCTAAATCTCTGCTCAGATGGGAGAACAACAGATACATCTTTCAACACACAAATCTGACGGCCTGGGAAGCAGGTAAGTAGTCTGCAGATCAGTCAGCTGGGGAAACATTAGGAAGGGGGCCCTGAGAGTAGTTTGCATTAAGTTCTCAGGTGAGCCTCATTCTCCCACCTGCCTAGCCTTAGAAGGCCCCCCAGAAGGCCTGGCCTGGCCCTGGCCCACAGCCTTGGCAGCACCATTAGGGCCAGAATCCAGCATCACTGGACTGCAGTGATAGTCCAGTGCCATATCCAGGAGGGAGGGCTGCATATGGCAGAAGTAGGGGTGCTGCTGGAGCAGGAGTGAGCTACTGTTTCCAGCAAACACTGTTCGAGCTGAACTGGTTTCCTCATTTGTACAAGGTTTTCTTACTTTTCTTACTTAAGGCATAATTCAACGAGCACAGATGTAAAAGCACCTAGTGGCCTGGCCATCTGATTAAATGGAGGTACACAGCAGTTTCCATGGGGTGCTGCCTCCATTGACTCCTCTCAAGAGAAGGGGGTCAGGGCAAGATGTTCTAGCTATGGGGTACTCAGCCCTTGTATAGGACACTGCTTCCTCACCCCTTCTATGGTCACAGAAAGGAGGGAATTTCCATTCCCCATCCCAGGAGACAAAAGCAGAGGGCACCCTTAGCCTGTCTCTGCCCTGTATTCTCACCCCTGCCTGGGAGAAGACCCCCTCCTGGGGTCTGGGAAGGAACTAAGCATGTTCTGTCATTTCTTCCAGCTCCCCCTGCACCTGTAGCTCCTCCCTTTGAAGAGCCATTGTCTACTTACCTTGCGTGGCATAAGAGTCTTTTAAATTCTGAGGCAAAGATTTAGTAATCGTTTGGCCTCAGGTCTAATGCAATATTCCTTTAGTCTTAATTTAAAAAGCTGGTGATTTGTAAGGCTGAGGCAGGAGGATCAGAAATTTGAGGCAAGCCTCAGAAATTTAGCAAGAACCAGTTTTAAAAAAATAAAAAGGGCTGCGAGTGTGCTTAGAGCACTGTTGGGTCCAATTCCTAGTACGAGGGTGGTGGTGGTAGGGGGAAGCTGTCATTTTAATCTCATTTGACTGTCTCCTGTCTGCTGGATCTTAACTGATTCTAAACTTGAGAAAGGGGAAAAATAGTTCCTTTAAGCCTCTCTAAACTAAGCATTTTCCAAGGTTGGAACAGGCATTCTGGAACCACTTTTGAACCTTTGAAGAAACCATACATGATCAAGATGCAGAGGCAAATAAAAACGCATCTATTTTGCTCATCACAAGCTCTGAGTGGATAATACATGTCTGCTTTAGCAAACAAATGAATTGCTACTGAGTTTGGTATGTTGACAAAATATCCTTTAACATAGGATCCAATGAGGGACTATGTAGAGTAGTTCTGGGGGATAAGAGGTTGCGTCTGAGAGGCCCTGACAGCATTCTGGACTCACCTCTCATCTTAGCACTGAGGTTGGGACTGTCCATCTGCTGGTCTGTCACCATCCTTATGACCTACAAGGGTGGAGACTGAAGACTTATTTGTCTTATACACAGCATATGGATGAATGGATGCATAAAAAGAGGGAAGGTCTCAGCCTTGAAGGAAAAACTGAGGTAGAAAGCAAGAGAGCACCTTCCCTCTCTGGCAGTGGCCAGTCTTGTCCTACTGCTAAATTCCTCTCTCACCAGCCCCCTGCTGCAGAGCCCTCTGCAAATAGCCTCTGTTGGACCCCCTGTCACCCTGTGGGATGTTTCCATGGAGCTCCCTTGGCAGGCTGTGCAGGCACCAGCTTTGCAAGGTAGAGATTAATGCAACCATCAACAGTCTGCCAGCTGAGTGTTCTTAAAGAATGAAATCCACAAAAATGAAAACCTAGGGAAGAACTTTTCTCAGGTTAGTGAGCATGACCTGGCCAGATGAGTTATCTTGCTGGGACATATCAGCTTTAAGAGACATATTGACCAGATAAAGTCCTTGCTGGGTGAGGGAGCTGGCATGAGCTAGACTCTCCTGGGTTTCCATGCTGGTGTTGTGGGCCTGGGCAGATCCACTAATGTTTCTGAGTTCCAGTTCTGGGTCCATAAAATGGGGTTAAAAATTCCTTCAAAGGGCTGTGGTGGAAGTGACAGAAAATATGGTGGGGAGCAGGTCTGTTGTTTTTCCAAAAGGACAATCTATAGCACTGGGCCTATATGACTGGCTTCGGTGATCCCTGATGAACACTTAATTTTTTTTTTATATGCCCAGAAAAAAACTAGACCAGTATGTTAAACCTATGATTTAACCAACTGCTCAGGACGTGGTGAAAGTTGGTATGGATATCTGGTTTGAGCCTATTTAAAGAAAACCATCAAGTCACAGAAAAATAGTACAGATGGTAGGAGAGTGTGGCAAAAAATTTTGAACTGGAATTCAAAGGCCTGTTCTTTTGGAAGAATCTGAAGTCCACAAAACTCATGTCTGCCAGTAGTAGGGGCTCTACCTGCTGTGGCCAATGGCCCATCAAACCAGGCAGTTGGGGAAGGACTCAAGGACAACCTATTGTGGGGCAAAGCTGGAAAGAGTTAAAAGAAAGGGGTCTGCAGTTTCGCTGGCCCATCCCCCCACAGCTAATCTGTCACCTAATGAAGAAGGGGCCGGCACAAGTGAGCTAGCTGGCAGTTCACTTACAGCGGACTGATTAAGAATGTTCAACCAACAGCAGACTGTAGACCTTTCCAGAGAAAATAAATAGAGTGTAGACTGTATGCAAATGTGTTTGTCACTTTGACAGCACGTCTCAATTAAGGCATCTCGCGGCTGTGGGTAGGCGCTGCGGCTGCAGCTGGAAGGAAGAGCCGGCTGCATGGCTGATCCTAGGGGCTTGACCCTAATCCACATGCATGCATTAAAAAAAATCCTGCCTTCCTGTACACTTGCATAATGCTGGCAGCCACGTGAGGGAAGTGACAAACGGGGAAAAAAAGCCACTTTCATCCTCTCCAGTTTGCAGACCTGTGAAGGCACAGACAGCTCTTATTTCAACAGAGTTTGGGGTGGCTTTTTTAATTGTTTATCCCCCACCCGCGTGCACGCACACACTCTCTTATTCTGCATTTAGCTGGATATGACATTAAAGCAACTCTACTTCTTGCTGAAATGGAAAGAAGGTCTTTCTCCATTTCAAATAGGGCCTCCTTTTTTTGTGTGTTTCGAAAATGGAATGTTTAACACCATGAAATCCCTCTCCCCCGCCCCCTCTTTCTCTGTAATGGGCTCCAAACTCCAGCAAGGGCTCCTTTCATGGGCAGGTTAGTGTGTGCAGGAATGAGGACAAAGGAAAGCAGGAAGCTGACTATGGAATGCCATGCTGGCGACAACCAGGGGCTGTGCTTTCAGCAAGCGCAGCAGCCGGGGAATTGGGGTGTGGATCTTTCCAACAGGGTCTGACCCTGGGGAGGAGGCAGCTCTTTGGGGTGCAGACTCCAGTGCAATTTGAAGATAATCATTAACCAAACGAGCGCCTCCCATTCATGCTTCTTTCATGCACTACATTTCAATTCTCAGAATATCCCTTTTAAGTGTAAAATCAGAAAAGAGGGTGAATCTCCCCAAGTTAAAGATGTATGAATGTATTATCTGAACAGATTGATTAGAGAAGAATGATTCTTATGTTTCAACCAATTCCAATTCACACCTTACAATAATAGCTACAGCTACATTTCATCAGTTCCCTTCATTTCTTAAATAGCTCTATGCTGGGTATATAGTAGGCCCTTGATAAACGTCTTTCAAAACCAAAAATATTTTAAAGGTAGGATTCTAGTTCCTTCATATGGTGAAACCACAATCACATTTAAAGTAAAATTCATAAAGACTAGTTTAATCATGTCTCATCTAATAAGTGGCTAAAAAAGGTGATTTAAGAATAAATTATCTTGCAAATTCTTATTATAACCATATCTTGCTAACAGAGCCAATTCTCATAAACCACAAACAAACAAAAAGACTTATGCTAACCAGAGTCAAGAGAAGTAGGGAAGGGCACACGATTTTTTTCAACCAAAAAGATGACCATGGATAGGAATGGAAAAAACAATTTTAGTTTCTATACAGAGGGGGAAAAAATGAGTAGACAATTTTTCAAATGCTCAAGTCGTTGAGAATAGTTGGGTAAAGAATTAGATCTCTAGAACTGTAGCGAGGGTGTTTACTCTGAGAAGCAAGACTCCTGATATTGATTTTCAGGAAGTACATTAATAAAGAACTCCTAATTGATTTTTTTTTAAGACTTCGCTTGTTGCCTTTTATTTGAAGGTGCAAAGAAGGGCCTGGGATGCTAAAGTGTTCTAATGAGATGCTTAGCTAACAGGGATCTTAAAGGCAATGCCTGGGAGTGGGGGAGGCAGCAGCAGCATTTAATGACTTCATTCAGCAGTGGAGCTAGTTGATGACCAGAGCCAGACTGTCTCCCCGAAATTTTTGAAAATTCACCTTCAAAACATGTTTGCACCAAATAAACATTTGACGACGTGAAAAACTCCATGGAGTTGCTCTGCCAAGGAGAGTTGGAATGAGGAACCGTCTGCCGCATGTGCTACAGCTTCTGCTACGAGCAAAACAACAAACCCCCAAACTGGAAAATCAAACAGACCCTGAAAAAGGATCGGGTACCTACCTGCCCAAAGTGGACCGTGATCGGCCTCCGGTCTTCTCGGAGCTTGGGGTCCTTGGCCTCCACCAGTGGGGACGGCATAGTCTTAGGCAGCTGCTCTTCTGTGGTGGGGGCACAGCCGTTTTCCGCGATGTCCTGCGGGGAGGAGTATGGTCCGGGGTTGGTGTCGGGGGCTCCCTCATACCCCACAGCTAAGTGGCCTGCCATGGAACTCCCTCCGGGACATTCCAAGCCTATCCTCCTGGGAGAGATGGAGGAAATGGAAGGCTAACTTGGCCCTTTGACTTTTAAGGACTAGAGAAACTAAAATCATTTGCATTAAATTATAAAGATAACTAATTCTTAATAGTGAAAAAAATCATCTTTCATACTATCTTACACAGCTATTTTCATTTTTACATATTCACGGTATCTACACACATTTAAAAATTACTTGCAATCACAGCTCATGCTTAATTTTATATCCTGTTTTGTCTCAAAATATTATAAGCATCACCATGGGTGCTACATAACAATTATAATAACAATTTTAATGGATGCATAATATTTCATTGAGCAGATATGCAACAACTTAATAAACCATTTTCCACTGCTATTGGACATTTGTTTCTATTTTTTTTTTTAACTTTCTAAATACCCATGATAAATATTGTAGTTTTTCTTTCTTTTGCATTATTTCTTCCATGGAAATACCTAGGAATAAAATTACTAGGTGAAAAGATATAAACATTTTTCAGGGTTTTTATTCATTCTACCAAATTTCCAATTTACACCAACTACCAGCAATGGATGCATTATCGGTTTCACAGTCCTTGTTAGCCTTATCATTTAAAAAATGTATCGCTAATTTAATAGGTGAAAAATTAGACCTCATTGTTGTTTTAATTTGCATTACTTTGATTATTTGTGAGTGTGGACATTTTCTCCGTGTTCTTTGCTGATGATGTTACTGTGTGTGAATAGGATGTGCTTGTGTCCCTCTTTCTCCCCTCACCCAGTCTTTCTAAAAGAGAATAAAGAGTGTGAATTCTGATTTAGGGCTCTGACTGGGGAATATTTAGGGAAACAAAGAAATATTTTTCAATCCAGAAATTTACATTTAATTTGTGCTTCTGAAGAATGAAGTCACATTAGAAGGAAAAGAAAAACCCAATGTGCAAAAGGCAGGCAATGGCTGCTTTGGCTAGCGCTAGAGCTGACGGCGCTCGTGGGCTATTTGGAGCATGGATATGGTCCACAAGTGCAATGCAATAAGCATCACATATTGTATTCGGGTCAAGAAAGTTGCTTTGATCTTGACTGGAATGGGATAGAGAATAAATGTAAAAATTACATGTAAACAATCATTTTTTTAAACCAAGTACAAACAACTCATAGCCTGAATTAAATAATAAATATAATTGCCAATTCTTTTCTTTGTAAAAACACACATTTTAATCAACAGACCACACCCTCTTAAAACTCATTAAATTCTGCACATGAGAGATAACCGATCACTCTTAACTTCTCAGCTAAGTAGAGAGAAAGTGGGACACGGGGGAAAGTAGTTGCTTATTGAATAATCCTGTATTAAGGAGGAAACATATAACATCTCTGAGCTTCGGTTTCTTCATCTATAAAATGAGGCTATGGTAGCTATGAGAATTAAAGAAGACAGGTGAGACCAGATAAGTGCCTTGACCATTATTAGCTACTCAATGAACTGTGGGAATTGCACAGATGCCCCTCCCATACCATATTAATTTGCTCTTTAGGTGCCTATCCGCTGGCCTCCTTTCCCAAGGAATTGGCGGCCTGTAGAGGCCAGTCTGAGGAGTCTACTTCTTGGTAAACAACATAGGGAGGTAGTGACCTCTTGACTTTACAGAGAGGCCTTGGATCAGTTGGCCCATGTCAGATCAGTCAGTCAGCCAGGCTAAGGCTCAATGATGAAAGGGCCTGCTGACTGCCTTGTTCAGAAAGGGGCTGCTCCAAGGCACTTAGGTCAAGTGGAACAAAAAAGGGGAGGGGCTCCTCCTGTGCCAGAAAGCAACAGAGGGCCAAAGGGGCATTTTGGATCCAGGTGGGGATACCCAGAAAATAAACACGAGAGGTTGAACAAGCCAAACAGTAACCATTTCATGTGCGAGCCTGAAAAAAATGGAGCTGCAAGGTAGCATGGTAAGAAAAATTAAGAAACTACAAGATAATAGGTGCTTTAAAAAAGAAAATGCATGTGGTTGTTTTTGGAAAAGTGTCTCCTAGCTTTGTTTTTACCATCAATCATCTAATCTTTCCAATTTACTCAATCTCTCCACAACTATTTCTTCGTTTTTACAATGAGGAGACTATAACCTGTTTGGCAAATTTCCAAGCTACTGGGTGATGGGTTAAATTAGATGAGATATGAGGAGGATTTGAAAAATGTCTAAGCATTATGAAAATTGAACATTAGACACTTCCTCCTACAAAGGACAGAAAGCTTCCCTGGAGAACACCTGCCCTGGTGGGCACTTTTCTGGACCCTTGACCTTTGTTCTCACATAGTCCCTATGATAATCATAAGGTAAACAGGAGTATACTTTTTTCATAGGTAAGGAAGTAGGGCTCAGAGAGAGTAACTTATCCAAGGCCACACTGCTAGGAAGCAGAGGAACCTAGAACTATCAATCCTGGCAATTATACCACATTGACCCATGAAAATAGCATACATGATAATGGCTCTTGAACTGATGGAGGACTTACCACCTCATCAGGAGTGACCTCTCTCTCCTTGGCAACCCATCTTGTTAGATTATTATTATTTTTTCTGTCAGTGCCAGGGATCAAAACCTGTTCCTCTCACATGCTGGGCAAGTACTCAATGACCAAGCTACACCCCAGCTCTAAACTGATCATAATCCACCACACCCTACGCTACCTGTGATTCCCCACAGACGGTGAGTTCTTAGGGTTTGGGTTCTCTATCTTGGATTCTCTTAAATCTAGCACTCACTCTGTAGTAAATCTTAAAGTTTAGCTGAACATTTGGAAGGCAAATGTGTGTAATATACAAATGTGCCTGGGTATTAAAAAGCAGTGCTGTACATTCATTTTACTTGGAAGATTCAGAGCCATAAAATTTCTTGTGAATTTCATTTCTTATGAAGGTTGTGGCTCACTGATTTTTTTCACTTTGTCACTGTTTCTTCCACCTAAGGACAACTGCTTCCTCCACCTAAGGACAACTGGCTTCCTCCTATGATGCCACAGGGAGCAGAGCAGGAGGAGCCGTGTCAAGAAAAAAACAGGAACAGTGTGCAGCCTCTGCTGCACCTTCCAGCAGAAGATCTGCACGGAGTGGAGGCCTGGGCAGCAGCAGCATCCACCCACGACCGAGGAAGCTGTAGTCTAAGAACTCACTGGCTGCCGCAGAGGACCTGGGCAGTAGGTTCTCATCCCCTTCTGGTGGGAATGCAAACTGGCAATTTATACAAAAGACCTAAAAGATGCACATGTCCTTTGGCCCACCAATTTTATTTTTAGACACTTATCCTAATTAAAGAATAAAAATTGCTGCACAGTCTTATGAGAATATTTGCCTAAAAAATTGGAACTTAGGTGCCCAGCAGATAAAATTTTTGGAGCCCTTTAAAACAATGACAAATGGAAGAAATATATAGTGGCCTGGGATATGCTCAGGATGTACTAAGTGAAAATGTAGGCTATGAAATGAGATCATTTTTTTTTTTTTTTGCTTCTCTGATTTGTTGAATTTTCTTCAATAAACATGTATTTTGTTTGCAAACAGGGAAAAACTGACCTTCTAAATGTCATTTTTAAAAAGCAAAAGCAAGAGGCTGATGGGAAGGGTAAGCCTATTCCTTCCTGAAGGGTCACACAGAAGGAAGACACTAGACGGAGCTGCAGATCAGAGGCCACTGCAGGGTGGCAAATCTCTCTCAGGAGCCCTGAGGCTCTGAGCACGGGGGCTCTACCACACCTCATCCCTCAGTAGCGATGAAAGAGGCGGAATATAATTCTATTCCTATTATCTTCCCTAAGCGTTTTGTGCGATAAACAGTCGGTCAGAGCTAACCTCCACCTTTTCAGAGAAGATAGGCAAGAAGGGGTCTAAGATGTCCTGGGACCTCCATGAGCAGTCAGGGAGGCAGCAACTCAGACTCTCAGGATCTACAAGGACAGCAGGGGTCTGTGTGGCCTTGGAGGAGCTGAGGTGGACAGGAGGGACAGAAGGTGGAGAGCAGAGCCTTCATATGGAATGGCTGATGCGTCCTTCTCCCTGTTGGGCAATGAGGTGGGAGGTTTGCAAGGTTGGGAAGGTCATAACCAAGGGAGGGCTCCCTCAGAGCTGTTCTAGACACCTTGCTCTAATGGTGGCATGAGCAACATGAAGCTATTTATCAGGATGTGTGCATGTGGGTATTTGGGCAGACCAGCTATTCCAGATGTGAGATATAAGAAAACACTCAGAATCACTACTCTCATCTGTGGAGGGGCTACTAAGTGCTGCTGTTTAAACACATTATCTCTTCTAATCCTTTTGACAACCCAACAAAAATTGGTATTTCCCCCAGTTTATGGATGAGGAAAACTAGGTTAAGAGAGGTCTAGTAACTCACCCAAGGCCACACAGTTAATGTTCCAGCTTTGAACTGGCTTTTCTGCCTCAGAAGCTCAAATGCCACATTTCTGTCTGGAGGAGTTTAAAGGCACCCTAGGTGTGAGGCTGCAGCAGTATTGTGTCTGACTTAGTTTGCTGATGGGAGTGCTACCTTCTCTACTTTGAGATTCATGCTGCGTCCTCCTTTTCCCAGCCTACCTCCCACCACACCAAATGTAAATTAAAATATGAATATTGATATCAAACTAGTAGCCAAAGTTGGAGTCTGTGTGATTGAGGCTGCAGCGTATTTTAATGTGTCTGGAGACAGGGAGCTGACAGTCGTATGATAAGGTGTGAAAATGTCTGTGCTATGAGAGTCTACCTGGCTCTCCTTGCCCCTCATGTGCTGGCTCACTCCCTTCACTGCGCTCAGAAATGTTTGGCCAGAAATTCAAGCCAACTGTGAATTTGCTCCTTTCAATCACGGAGACTCTAAACAAGCTTGACTTGTCTTTAAAAGATCAGGGATTTAGAAACTATACAAAGAGCTGTGAAATGGGCCCATTTGGTTACATATTCGGATACTAAAGAAAAAAGATAAAAATTTTAGGGATTCCTCAGTAGGCACAGAAAGACATCCTTATGTATTTGAATGTTTCCTGCAGGTGAGGGAAGGTTATGTGGCTATCACTTAAAACAGGGCCCCCTCATGCCAGCATGGCTCGGTGCCGCAGCGGAAGGCAATTTGTTGACATTCTTCTGCAGAGCAGGTTTGGCAGGGCCACACTCTCCATGGAGGCACCATGTTCTCCCCTAGGAAGTGATAGCTGCATCGCATCCTTGCCATTTCTTCTTCCTAATTTTGAGCAAGTCAGATTTCAAAGGAGGCCAAACTGGAGCAGAACTTGACCACCTTACTCCATTTATCCAGAGAAATATGTTCTCCATCTTTCTTTTTTTGTTGCTGGGCAGAAGCAGAGCAGGTGTGGAATAAAGCCATGCTATAGGATCTATGAACAATTATTTGCCAATGGTCACAGATATCCTGAAAGCTCCTCTTTCAGATGCTTTGAAAATCTGCAGCACAAATGAACAAGGGACGGAGAAGGGGCCCTGCTCAGTCACATTAGAGATGGACCCTCCACACACCGTGATGACCTCTCCACAGGTCAGCCCCACATTTTCTATTTGCAATTCAAACCCAAGGCAAGAGCAAAGAGGGCAAGACTGGGTTCTTGATTATATCTGCGAGGTCACCATTGCTATGCAGAGTTAGAGGAGGTGAGGTGGCAACCCAGTACATTTGAAAATTGGATCTTTGTTGGGAACTGCCTCAATTTCAGAGCAGAAACCAAACTTGAGATGTCTGTATTAGATGCTTCTGGGGAGCCACATAGATAGGTTCTGTGTAAAGGGGAGAGGGTGGAAGGGAGGGGAAGAAAAAAGTCAAGGAAATATTTTCCACTGCAGTGAGAGAGGTCAGGCGAAGCCAAATCCTAAATTAGCTCAAGAAAGGGAGTTGGAGAGCACTGGAGACCCTGGGCCTGCATGTACTGAACAATGCTAGAGTTTCAATTACAAAACAGCTCTTCCAAGAACAACTGCAAAATATCAAGTCTGTGGAAATCTGTACGACCAAAGGGGGGAAAAGTGAAAATTGAAAAGGGTGCACTAATAGATCTGTCAACAGTCCAATGGTGACAAGCCACATTTCTATAAAATGCCTTCACCGCTTGTGTCACCTGAAATACACTGACACTCTCTATAGAACATTATCTCCTGAAGCTATTCTTGAAAAGACTGGCAGGGGGAAGAGAAGGGGAGGGGAAAATCGGCTTAGACACCATCAAGGAACAGAATGGGAGGTGGCATGGAAAGAACATAATCTAGATTGTTTAAATGAACTTTGAATGAACACATTAAAAAAGCTGGGCTTTACTGTTTTTTTTTTTTTTTTTTTTCCAGAAAGGGTACCTTTCATAGAAAGGGGGTTTTCTGGAAGCCAGATGCCTGCACACTCTAGTAGGAAGGTAAGGTGATGCCTCCAGCTTCATGGTCTGCAGACAGGAAGTGGGAATCATGCGCCACATCTGTGTGGGGTTTGAGGAGGGACCCCTGTCTTTGCTTACTTCAGGTGATATTTCTCCCCTGAAGAGACACAGAAGACACAGAAGAGGAGAAGCCCCCTCTCTGCCACTCGGATGCATGCCACTGGGATAGGAGATGAAGAGGTATATTTAGTGACTCAAACACCATCCAGGTGAAGAATCCCACCTGCCAGCCCCTGGCAGGCTAGTCAAGGGCTATCTGGGTTCACAGTACAGGGCTTGTATTGCAGGAGGTGAATCTCAGCTGTTAAGAATTCATTGTCAGCTGAAACTAAGAATTTAAATGCTTAGTTGGAGCAAATTATTTTCCAATTAAAAGAAGGGAATCAATTCCTTCGACTATTTCAAGTTAATTAGAGGTCCTTTCTGACTTCATAAAATTGAAACTGCTTTCAATTTTTTAAAAAAACTGCCAAGACAGACAAAGGCCCTTGTTAAGAGTGATACATTTGGGACTTAGAGATAATGAAGTAAATAACCCCAGCTATCATTTGGAAAACCAAACACTTGTTTTAGGAAGGTAGTGTGAAGCACTATAGCAAGTGCACAGAAGCTGGTAGCCGATGAATTTGGAATCCAATCCCATTTCTGCTAGGCTTCCACAGTGTGGCCTTGGGCAAATGACTTCACCTCTGAACCACAATCTCTTTGCTCATGAAATGGGATAATACCACACAGGGTTGTTCTAAGGATTAAATGCGAGAGCTCCTGGCCTGGGCCATCCTTAACAAGTACTTAACAAAGGGTGGCAATAATAATCACGTTACAATCATGTGAAAATCCTCTCCTAGTCATAGTAGCCTCACGTAATGTCTAGAGATTCAGGTTGGCAGAATCTGCGCTGGGAATGGCCAGTGTGACTTCATATAATCTTAATGATGGTCCAAGAAGACAATCAGAGCCACTGTTTCCCTGTGCAAAGTCTCAAACACACTGCTGGGCTCCTCTCATTTACACCATGATGGGAGAGTCTGCAGCACCCTCCTCCAGCTCCCCTTTGCATGTGTCTGCACGGTGGCCATGTGCACCATGGGTCCAGGGAGGTTCTTCCCTAGGGATTTCTTGGTTTGGATTATGACAAGCATAGGGGCAGAGGGCAGCTGGAGGAAGGGAGTGGTGCTGGGATGTGTCTGAGCTAATTTCTAAGGGTATCTGTGAACTCCAGGCCTGGTGGGGCAGGGAGGGGACAGACCAATAGTGGTAATGCTGAACTTGCTCGCCTTTGTGGGTTTATGCCAGAGTCTTAATGTTATTTGAAGACAGTTTTTTGTCTGTGAATATTTATAACAGTGTGAAAACTCCCGGACAGCTGGTAATGCATTTTGAAGTGTGCTAACAACACTGTATCAAACAGCCCTCTATTGATCACATCCTACTTTTTTGTGGCCACGCATTTCATACACGGTGCTTATACATTTTGAATAAGAACTTCAAGTACCTTTTGCTTCAAGCGGTTTTTCACCTCTTTTATTCCCATTTTTGCATGATCTTTTGCCTGCATGAAAAATTAATTTAAGTTAAGATTCCCTTTCTGTTTCCAGCAGGGACTATGCTTGATTTCAGTCCATCGCGAATCACCTTCTCTGATTACTAGAAAAAGGAAGGAAAAATGGGATCATCAAGTCGAAAACATAATGGCTATGAAAACAAATACAATAGTAAAAGGTTAAGAAAAAAAAGTCCCCTAAAGGGGTTGCAGAGATTGTATTTTCTACATTTTGATGGCACACATTTTTTCCCCCCCTTCTCAAGCCCTTCTTGGGCGCTCTCTAATTATTTGTCTCAGCAGCTTGGTAACATCTACCAGTAAGAGTAGAAGGGCAGCTTCACTGGCTGCTTAAGAATCAAAATATCCATTCTATTCCACTATGGAGGGCCTCAGGGCCAATATTCTGCCCAGGCTGAATGGCCAAAACACACACACTACTGGGTTTCCATGATGCCATTTCCTAGGTCTCATTTCTGTGGACACCACTTGCTTTTACTTTATGCCATTTTAGACCCGTTTGGTAGTGTTGACAGCTACCTACCCTGTTATAAGAGCTACAATTTAAGCACAGAAAGGACTACCATAATTAAAAACAAAACTAACTCAAAACCACCCCATTTTAGTGGCTCAGGGTCAAATTAGCAAGCAAGAGAAATCACAAGAAAAAATACTTGAGGCTTGTAAAAGATGGAGCACCAGGAACTGATGGGTTCTCCTATTTTCATTCTGCTGTGGGCACGAGTCTCACAAATAATGCATTTCCTATAGGGCAGTGATGAGAGAGATGATGAAGAATTGGGACAAAAATTAGGGAGTATTCCCGCCACACTCTTCAGTAACCTGCAAAGGAGCTGCTTCATTTTGACATAATAATGAGGACACAAATAGGAAAGGTATGTTAGGACACTTAATAGACCAACCATGCCTCTGGGTCTCAGGGATACATGGAGCAGTCTGAATTTTAGCTATCAGTCCATAATTTAAAAGCTAAAACCAGTAGCCTCCCATTTCTCTATTGCAGTGACTGTGACCAGCCATACTTTAAATTAGAAAGATCACTGACCTAGTCATAAGAAAAACAATGCTAAATAATTATCAGAGCATTAATGTCATTAGGAAATAGCACAGCAGCTCCCAAGTTGATCTATAATAGGGGACTAGGTGTATTTAAGAGTCTGGTCATGCTAAGGAACTGGTCTGCCTGGATCCTGAGACTAACACCTGTACTTACGAACTTGTAGACGGTCTTCATGGCTGGGTTGGCTTTTGTTTTTACAGTGTTCAGAATTGCTCCACTTCCTTTCTATAATAAAAACACCAATCAGCAATGTGGGCTGAAGATAGAGTAGGCCAACACCAACAAAGTCCTCTTCTCTTTAATCAAGTCAGGCAACATTTTAAGGGCATGGGATGTAAGTAGAGAAACAGGCCCAGATGGTTACCGTCAGGGGCAGTCATAGGGTTATGGCAGAATTGCTCTGGGTGTGTGTATGTGCAATGAGGACTGTGATAGCTAGTTGAGGGGGGCGTTAGGCTCAGTGTTCTAATCTGCACTTGTTCCCTGTCCCAGGCTCTCTCAGGTAAGGTTTTTCTCATAGTCTGGCAGCTTTTCAAAGCTTTCTAGTTACTGCATTTAGGTAAGTTTCATGGCTGTGAATTCTCCAGCTGACACCAAGCTGGGGCAGAAAATGGGGTCCTGATCAACCAGGACCATTGGGAAATATAATGCCCTCACCCAGGCAACTTCCTTTCCTCACCTGAGTTTTCTGTGTTACTGTTTTTTAAAATACTTCTGGTAGGCTGCCTTCCTTAACATATAAATCTTTAGAGAAGGAAAGAATGAACGGCCATAATGTTAACCATGGCTTTAGTACAAATCTACCACACCAATGTCTTGTTCATCATCTTTAGGGAGTGGGCCATGTTTCCAGAGCTATCCATAAGCCTGTTCTTTAGTCTCATCCCTACAGGTGTGGTGAGGTCCCACTGTGTTAGGCTCTGAGGGCCTTGAGCCAAGGGACACCTGGTCTCTATCTCAAAGATGTGCAGTCTGGGGAGGGCAAGGCATGCTGGGGCAAAGAGCTGAAGCGTCAGGTGATGAGAGCTGTAATGACTGCATACAGGGAGCACAGAGACAGGGAAGGTCAGGGAAGGCTGCAGATCAAAATACATTTGACCTGGCCCATGAAGGACGAGTAGGGAGGAAGCAGGAGGATAAGAACATTCTTGAGATAGGAAGTAGCACAGAAAAAAGTGCAGAAGCCAAAAAGCGGCGCTATATTGTAGGAGTGACAGGCAGTGACTATGCTGTATGCAGGTATGGACTGTATCTCAGGAAGAGCAGAGCCAGGCTGGGGGGCCTTATGGGGACAGCTCATGAGAAGCTGGGAATGTCTGGCTAAGGGGTCAAAGCTCTGGAGAGTTTTTAATCAAATGTATCATATAATCTGATTTGTGGTGGTTTGGAAAGTTAATCTAACTGATTCGAATGGAGAGACTGGAACCAGTGGGTATATAACCAAATAAGACAGTAATGTAATTATTGACTTAACATTTAGTACAATTTTTGGTTACTGCTCACATTAAAAATTTTGGACTTTAATTAAAAAACATCACAATTTGACCCAGAAAGCGCTCTACATCGACAATAGCAAATTCTCACCCACTCATTTATTCCATACTGCCTTCCAAAATTCCTATTTAAATGGATGTTTGGAGTATTGAAACCCCCTTTATCAATCAATCAGCAAGTCCTTATTGCTCACCTCAGATATGCCAAGTGCTGTGTTTGGCCATACAAGAAGGACAAAGGAAGGCTTTCATTGAGGAATTGCTGCTCACTCTTGGCCAAATGCAGCCACTTCCAAGGGACCTGCCTTGGCAGTGGTGCACTTGGCCCTGAAGCAGGAGAGAACACTTATCACATTATGTTGGAGCTGCTTGTTTACGTGCCTGCCTCCTCAACAAGATGGGGGCACTCCCCCAGGGAAGGGCCTGTGTCCTGCTCCCCTCTGTATCCCCAAGACACAGCTGTTGCCTGGCACTGAGTAGGCCTTCAGTACATACTCAAATGTAAACGGATGGAAAGGTTAGGCAAGATTTGAATCCTGTAGAGGTTCTGGAAATCCTAACCACCTGGCTCCTGACACAATAAGAAACTGTAACACAATAACAACAGTGAGGAGAAGAAAAAATCAGGGATGTATTCTTCATCTTCCCAGGAGCCTTTGCTGTGGAAAATACTGCAGAACAGCAAGAGGGACATATTTTTGGTTGCCCCATGATTGTGACAATAGCACTGGCCCTAGAAGGAGACTCCCAGAAACATTCTAGGATGACAAAATTCAATTCAACAGCCTTTGGCTGGCTTCTTGAAGGGAAGACTCTCTCCTACCTCCCTCTGCCCCAACAAGAGAGCCCTTGGACAGAATAGCCTAGTTTTAAGACAAAAGCAACTTCTGGTGGGAAGAATGGGGTGCTCTGGGCCTCACAGAAGCTTTGTGGGTAGCCAGGGAGGCAGAGGGCTGCCAGAAGGCCAAGGAGGAAGCCATGTGGCTCTGAATGGGGCATACTTACCCGGACGGTAGAGAGCCACTGATGGTATAGTTTATCGCTGCCTGGGAAAAGAGAATCAGAGAGACTGTGATTTAAAGAGTTCTTTAAATTGCTTTCAGCATGCAGGACTTGGAAAGTTCAAAGTCTAGAGAACCACCTGGAGACTCCATGTCCCACTCCATGAAGAAGGCAGTAGTGAGTCATGGTCACAGCTTTCTTGCTCAAATAGAGAGCTGTTCATATCAGTGCCCTGACTACAGACCCTCAAAAGCCTCCCCACTGCCTACTGGAGCGAGGTCAGTCTCCAGAGCAACCCTGCCCTTCTCCCCTCGTCTGTTGACTTGGCCTCCCCACTCTCTGCAACTCTGTCCTGTGCTTATGCTCTGTACTGCCTCTGCTCCAACACAAAATACCACCTAGGGCTCCCAAACAGTAGTCTCTCTCTCAGTCCTTCAGCACTGGCAAATGATGTTCCTGTGCCTGGCTACCATTTCTTATTCTCTCTGCCTAAGTCAGCTCAACAACCAGTTGAAATATCATTTTCTCCAGAAGCCTCCCCCTCTTCCTCTGAAGAGCCCTCTAGTACAGGTAATACCCACTTATAAGTCCTAATTGTTAGATGTAGTATGACCCATGCCAGAGCAGGAACCACCAGAGCTGTGTGTCTCCATGTAGGGACCCTCTAGACACATACTCAGCCCTTAGTACACTTGATTAGTGACAGAAAAAGAAAAAGGAGGCATTGTGGGTGAACTCTGCTTATTTCATCTGATGGGTTAAGGAGGTCTAATGAGGAGACAGCTCTATTAGAAGCTCTGAATGACTGAACTTAGTTTAGTCACACACGAAACCCAACTTCTCTTTGGAACTGATATCCTATGGTGAGAAGCCAACTCAAACCCTGTCCTCTTGGGAAGCTCCCACAGTATGCAGTGAGAGTCCTAGTCCAGCTGCACAAAAACCTGTTTCTACTCCTTTACCTGCACTCATTTAATTTTTATCTGTCTTTAGTTAGGCCTCTTTCTTTACTACCCAACTAAAAGCTCCTTGAAGGCAGAATTGGGTCCTCCATTATTTACCAACTCTGGACACAGGGGTTCAGGAAATGCTTGTCAACAATCTGCCATTAGTGACTGCAGCTGCCATACTGGTTTTATTAATCAACTGTGTTCCCCGTGCAGCACAGGCTGCTAGGCCCTGTAATACCCACAGGTGGAAGCCATGCCTGGCTTTGTGGGATTGTACACTGCTCGAGTTATTGAATGATTCAGACTAGATATGCCCAGCAATAAGAGGGGCTGGCAGTATAAGTATTATTATTTTATATCCAAAGACTAAGTCTATAAGTTATTATTCTTGCTGCCAAAGACTGAGCCCCCTCACTGGACCTAGGAAGAAGGCCAGGTTGGGATTCAGGAGGTTGGGTCAACCACTAGAATCTCTCTGGGCTTCAGATGCCATCCCTGAAAAATTAAAGACAATCCCCCAGTTTTAAAGAGACCGGGAATCAAGCAATGACTTTTGCATTTTAAAGAAACAGTCACTGAGCACTGACCCTATGCTGAGGACTATCCTGGGTGACTACACCCTGCTCTGATCCCAACTCCTCGGGAATCTTGTGGGGTGTGCACTGTTGCTCTCAGTGTGTAAACCCAATTCTGCCCTCAAGGAGCTTTTAGTTGGGTAGTAAAGAAAGAGGCCTAACTCAGTGTGTTGCTCTCAGTGTGTAAACAAGCAGCTGGCAAGGAGGCAGGGTTCTGATTTGAACCCAAGTCCCCTAATTCAATATCTTATGTGCTTTCCCTGCATCATACAGGCCACTACATTTTAAGTAGCCTCTACCCAGCAGAAACAGCTAACTCCTAAGCAGAGGGTTCATATGGGCCAATGTGCATCTCATGAAAACTGAAGAGGAATTCTCCAGCTGTATTAAGGCCAAGGTTGCAACCAGTCTCCTCCCAACCCCTAACTATGGAGATATGAAGTTCATGCCCATCTGTGGCAAGAACACCTTGGTCTACAGCATCCATAACCCAGAAAGAAAAGGAGGCTTCTCACCTGCATACTCGCCCATGTTGATTTCCTCTTCAAAAACATCACTGAAACCCTCGCCAGAATTGAGAAGTTCTAATCGACCATCAATAAACTAGAGGAAAAGCAAAAGCACAACAGCTTGTCTACAGAAACAGGAAAAACCATCCAGTTGGGGACCTCGGTGCATGCCCAAAGAACAGCCATGCTTTCCAATATAGGAAAGGCCCTTCAACACTGAGTTTTCTATGAACCTGGTGACACATTTATGAAACTTAGAAAACCTCCCATCATGTTTGCTAAGGGACTGTCTGATGGCTGGCCACCCTCTTCATCCAGTCACCCTCCCCTGGGCCTGCAGGTTTGGGTTCCCTCCTTGCTCAGTCTCAGGGCTCGTGTGAAGGCAGCTGCAGAAATCCCTGCTGGGCCAAATGCAGGCCCCCAGGGAAGCTGGGCACCTGCTTGAAGAGCTGCAGCTGTGTGGCATTCTGCAGGAACTGCCTCATGGCTCCAGAGCGATAGTGGGAAACGAAGGCTTCTTCACAGAAGGTGATGGGTTCCTCCTGGGAAAAGAAGAAGGGACAGGAGGGTTGGAGGCTTGAAGGGAGAGGAATCAGTGCTTACCCTCCTTCTGGCCGCTTTCACATCTGCTCATTTACCTAATTTTCATTAGTGAAGTCGTCATTATTATGTAAGTCATTCTAGTCTAGGGGTGGGAACACTATTTCAAGAAAGGGCCAACCCCCAATCACAGAAGATGAGGAGGTACAGCGGGAACTCAGGGTCAGATTCCAAAGCCCCCATTCCTCCCCTTCTGTATTAGTGACAGTCACATCTCAATAGAAAGTTAGTGAGAATATGTCTTCCATTATGATGATTTCCATACTTTTTTTTTTTTTTGGTTTATTTCCAGTTTTAGGAGCAGAACATTATATTCAGATAGATACTCAGGCAGAAAAAGCCTGTTACATAAGGCAGAATTGAGCTGCTGTGCTGGGAGCTGGAAGGAGGGGGGCCACGGTTGGGCTCTCCTTGCTTGGTGGCCTTCTCCTTACTCCCATCTCTCACATACCTTTGTTGTTCATAGGACACCAGCTGTGGAACATAGTTTGAAAACCACTTATGCTGATTGTTACCTATAGCAAATTATCATTTTATTTTATTTAATTGTTTTGGAGACAGTGTCTTGCTAAGTTGGTCACGCTGGCCTCAAAGTCACATTCTCCTGCCTCAACCTTCTGAGAAGCTGGGATGACAGGCATGCACCATCATGCCCAGCCTAAAATTTAAAAATAATTAATTATTTTAAAAAGCAAGATGATCAAAAATAAAATCTATCCCCCCATCAAGTCAATTTGTGCTTAAGTTGTTTGATAAAGAAGTTTGCTTTCACCAAACTACATTTTATAAGTCAAGAAAATGGTACCCTATGCTTTAAAAATCCCATCCTGTACATCAACACCTCGATCTCTCTTTGAACACATGTGGAGTATTTATCTACACAGATAAGTCTTTAATTTCAGCAGTGTATTCTCAATTCTGAAAGATCGGGCTTTTACATCTTGAGTTGAATTAAGGGTGCCCCCACCCCTTCACAGACTTGGTGGCAAACACAGAGATGTTTGAAGCTCCACTTTCATCCTTTTTTAATGAGTTACGTGAGTGTTAAATTTACTGTCTAGCTCTCTAAGTTCCAAGAGTTCCTCCTGATTCAGTCTAGTTGACAACTAGCCAACTAGTCTCAGCAACTGGGCAAACACTGCACAGGCTGGAGGATGACCCAAGAACTCGAGGGTCAGGGGAAGGAGTATTTTTATATAGTATGCACTACCAACTTTTACAAAGGACCCGAGGCACTTTATGTAAGCACCCAAGACTACAAAGAAAAATCAGGGTTGGGAAATACATAATTATATAAAATGTATTTATCTGGGAATAGGGTGCCTGGGTACATAGGTCCTATACAATTTCTAAAATTAGGTTACAAAGTTAGCTCTGAGCTCCTTGACTGTCAAAGCAAGAAGGAAAACAAATCAAACTTTGTATTGTGTATGAGAAAAAAAAATTAGTTCTCTGGAAAAAAAGACAGAGCTGTTCATAACATTTATTACTTTGGCAGGGACTACCGTCTTCCTTGCCAAATAGCCAAAGGACCAGCTACTGATGATAAACAGAAGCCCAGCTGGAATTCCATTCTTGTGGCTTGGAAGTTCTGCTTCTCACCCATGGGACCATGGCAGGGCTATTCTCTCTCCAGATGATCTCATCCATGGCATAGTATCACTTGAATCCTGGCAACTCCGGATAAACATCTTCAGTTCAGTTACCTTTCCACACCTCCAAATCTACACGCATCAGTCCACACCTGGAGAACGCACTGGCACTTCAAATTCAAAATGGCCCACACTCTTAATTATTATTCCATCAGAACTACACCTCAACCTGCTTTTCCTTCTTTCTTAATCAGCAGTATTCTCAGTATTCTTAGGGGCCACCACAGATCTATCAGACTTCCAAGTCCTTCCAATCCACCTGTGAAGAGTCTCACATGCTCATTCCCTGCTTGCCATCCAGCACCCTGGCATAAGCCTGGATTGCTGGCTCACCTCTATGTCCCTCTCCTGTCTCATTCCTTATTGTCTACTCCAATTTTTCTAGCCAGAGTAAGTTCTAAAATGCAAATTGGATCATGTGAATATCCCACTTGAGAGTAGGACTGCACAGATGTCACCTCTGTGTGATGATCTGATTCATGCATGTTCTTTTCTACTAAACGAGATGCTTCACGAGGGCATGAATGATACTTGCTCAACACTGCACATGTAATGACAGATGTGGCATATCTCAGGCACTCTGCGTGGGGAGGAAAGGACGTGTTCCTAAATTGGGCAAGCAGACCCTTTCCAAGCTGACCCTGCCTTTCTTTCCCTGAGTCCACATGTCCCTTTGCCTCTGCTACCTATATACCTATTGTGCCAAATTATGCTCTGATCATATGCCATATCTGTTCCCACTTTTTTCCTTGCTTTTACCAGTTCTATTCCATCTGCCTGGATTCTCCTCCCAAACTCAGGTCTCTGTGTTGCAGTCACTCAGTCCTGCTCAGTGTTCTCACAGAGGCCTCGTTCCCCTCAAGTGACTCCCTTTCTAAGACAATGACATGAATCACAGTGTGTGTCATCTGATAGCAAGCTCTGGGGGCACTGTGCTACACACTTCACAGTTCTGTTTACCAATTTGAGAACTTCAGTGAATCAGGAATCACACTCAACATTTACAGAAATAACTGAGGTAACCTGGGTGACTTGGAAATGTTAAAGTTAGGGTCTAACTCTTAGTGGTCTCCATCACAAACATGGGTGATAGTAGAGGTGGCTTTACTCTGAAGTCTCAGTTCTGTTTGCCCTCAGATATCTGCTGGAGAGCAGGGGTGTGCTCTCTCTCTCTCTCTCTCTCTCTCTTGCCCCGGTACTGGGGATTGAAACCCTGAGGTGTTCAATCACTGAGATTTATCCTACATTGCCCAGGCTGGCTGCCTCAGGCTTGCCATCCTCCTGCCTCAGCTCCTGAGTTGCTGGGATTACAGGTGTGCACAACCATGCCCAACCCAGGAACGTTCTTTTTAAAGGTAGAACCTCCCTTCATGCACTATATTCTCCTGGACACATAGTGCAGTCTTTTAGACACAAGCTGCTTCAGGGAGTAAGTAAACTGCTGCGAAGGCTCTTTCTGTCACAAGTCCAAGGTGAGGACACAGTGCCATTTTCCTACTTGTCCATCCTTGTCCTGCAACTGGCATGGCTGCTCCCCACGCTTACCCCCTGCAGTGCAGAGGAGTGAGGCAAGGTGTCTCGTCAATTCCCTTCCTTGCAAGAAGGGCTGATTTAGTTCTCTTACTAGATTGATTAAACCTCTCGTCTTCTTAGGTGACACTCTAGATGCTGGGGCTACTGGCTGGTGGTGATGTTAATGCCTGGAAGTCAGGCCGTGAGCATTTGCGCTTAGATGGCATTAGTGGAGTTTTCATCCATGACCCGAAGGACAGTGCAACACAGCTGCTCAACCCTATCAAAGACTTTGTTACAAAAAGACAAGTTTCACTCTTGAATTATCTTCTTGACATATGGAATCAATCAAAAACTCCATCGCTAATGAGTTGAGTCTTTGTTAACAGGTGAAGTTGGTGATTCCAAAGGTTTTTGAGAATTCCAGAAATAAATGACTTTATCCTCAGCACTGTCAGTGCCGGTATGAAAATGCCACCTCCCAAGAGCTTCTTCAGCAACTGTCCTTGTTCTGCTGACCCACACTTAAAGTAGTAAATTGTTATTTTCTTTTATAAATGTAATTTTTATCAAAAATTTATATGTATTTTTACTGTGAAATTCTTAGAGACAGGGGGCAGAAACACCTGTCAGTTTCCTCTTTATAGACCTTGCTTAAAATTAAAAAAACAAAACGATGTTGGAAGATCCATACATACATCCAAACGTTTAAAAAGCAGTTCCTAAGTGCCAGGTTCTGTATAGGAGGAATAAAAAGATAAATAAAATACAGTTCTTATAAATAATAATAACTGGATGAGCAAAGGGGAGTGGATGAAAATAGATATGACACAAGAATGGCAGGGCATATTGTCCATAGCAGCAATAGCCAGAAGATGAAAGAAACCCCACAGTGCACCTACAGATGAATGGATACACAAAATATGGTATTTACACACAATAGAATATTTTTAAAATGGAGGAATCTGTCACATGCTACAACATGGATGAACCTTAAAGATATTATGCTAAGTAAAGTAGGTCAGACAAAACAAAACAAAACAAAAAACAACTACCATATAATTCCACTGGTACAGCGTACTTAGAGTGTGCAGGGCAGTGAGGAGTTAGTAGGAAAGAGTTTCAGGTTTGCAAGATGAAAAAGTTCTGGAGATAAAAGGAAGCTGGTTGTACACCAATCTGAATGTACTTAATGTCATTGAATTGTACATTTAAAAATGATTAAGATGAGAAATTTTACACATATTTTACAATTAAACATTTTTTAAATCTTAAAAGAAATGACAGAACACTTATAATTGTGGAAGTTGTATGCATGGGGGTTTGCTTACTTTGCATAAGTTTGAAATTTTTCATAATAAAAAGTTAAAAAGGAAACCTCCTATTGTCAAAGAATCCTGCCTGGTTCAGGGAACAAACAGTTATAGCACAGTGTGACACTGGCACCAGGGGCTGGGTTTCATTTTTAAAAAGGCACCTTTATAAAAACTTAAAACTTTGTTTTGATTTGATCCTTTAAGGTGACTCAACATGGTGGAGAGAGAAGGTGTCTTGGAGTCAAAAGACACCAGAACCCTGACTATGAATGTACTAATTATGTGATCTCAGTTGACTTGTATTTCCTCATCTGTGACAATCATGCACAGATCACTTTGAAGATTAAAACAGATGACCATAAACAGGTTTCTCCATGACAGATCATGACATCATGAGCTTGGGATGGCCAGGCTCCTTGGAAGACAGGCATCACACCTATCTCCCTTGCTTATGCCCATGTT